AGATTGAGTACACATGTCATGACTTGACATCCTAGATTCATAGCTTGCTTGACTAAGCTGGTCATCAATTTGCTGCAAAGTTTTCTGAGCCACGGGTCTACGTCTACCACCAGGAGAAGTAGATTCTGCTAGTTGTCGGTTTGACTGTTTCCTTGATTTACTAGAATCAGATGGAGGGGTTGGTGGCCGTGAACGTTTGTCATACTCAAGCTTCTTCTGCTGCAATCTTGGACTTACAGATCCTGAACTCTTTGAAGTACTTTCTTTGGCAACCTGATGAGGCTTTTTTGAAGAAGACTGGGCACTTCTGCTGTCAGATTTCTTATCAGCAGAGCTGGTACATGATTCAGCTCTTCGGTTTCCAGGACTACGATCTTTTGTCACCCGTTTACTACTTGTTGAAGTTCCTTTATCATCAGGTTTTTCTCTACGGATCTTATTAAGTCCAGATAGGCTGTGAATGGGAATAAGGGATGACGCTGGAATGCCAGCCTTTTCAACAAGTTTGGCAGGTTTCATAATCACGATCGGGGATTGATATACCTGGTTCGATGAAGATGAAGAAGACGGGGCTCTAGTTTTGGACGGCATTGCTTGGTTGGAAGTTGCAGAATTTGCTCTTTCATAATCTCTTAGAGCTGCCAAGTTTGAGGACTGTGGTTGTTTTTCTGTATCCAGGAAGCCCTTTGATTGCATAGCTTCTAATATTTGTTTAAGAGCTCGAAGATCTTTTCCCGAATGTTTGAACTCAAGATCATTCAACCTCCTCTCCATTTCACTATAGACAGTAGGAGGATAATTAGGAACCTCAGACGGCACTGGTTTCACAGGCATGCTAGCTTGCTTCTGCAGAACTCGGTTTTTATCAGCTTGCTTCCATGGAGCTGGTTCAATGGGAAACCTTGAATTTGATAGAGGTTTCATAACAAAATCAGAGTTTCTCCATCTTGGCGAAGACGGGTCCTTCCCCAAGCTTCTCGGTGAGCTAGGAGAAAACCGGATTGAACGGTTCAGATTTTTCTCCCTCAATGATTTCGAGAACGGGTCGTTGTTATGGTCAGAAGTGTCCATTTTGTTCAAACCAAACTGAAGGGTATCTCTACCCAATGGAGAACCTGGCAATGTCTCCAAACCCATGAGCTTTGCAACAACACTGGGAGGCCGCTTCTTGTTGCTGCTTGAGCTCCCGCTGAAACTTTCGGAAAGCTTACCTGATTTCAGATCAACATTGGAGTTTTGAATCATTCGTTCTCTACTATCCAGCGAAAGCCTAGGCAACTCTTTCAACTTCTGCCTGGATTTCAGCGTATCATGAGAATCAACGGAGTAACGAGGTGCATCTCTTGCTCCAACCTCATTATAATGGTGAGGTGTTTCTCTAAGTTTGGCTAGATATCTGAAGGACTCATTGAGATCAGCAGGTGTGGATTGCTTCAAACCATATGGCCTTGGAGAATCTTCTCTTCTGCTACGTCTAACTACTTCATCTCTTGTCATAGGCCCTCTGGCTTCTCTGTACATAGAGTCTCTCACAACATCTCTGAGGTCAAGTCCTAGATGTGAAAATCCATTCCCTTCCGTCATCTCAGGGTCACTCGTAGGAGATTCTGTAAAATTTGCTTGCTCATAGGCAGAAGCTTCAGGTTGAACTCCTCTATTGAACTCAGAAGACGATGGAGAGGAAGAGCACGAAGATGAGAAAGAAACCCTCGATGATTCTGTCGAAACTCTTTGCTTCTCTTTCACATTTCCACCAACGTTTGCGTCCTGAAACTGAAATGGAACAAAAAAAGCCTTAGGATCGTATAGAAAACCTCGGTATGAATGAAAATCGTAGATCTTTGACCGTAGATTTAACTTACAGTGTCTTTTGCTTGATAAAATGTATCAACGTTGATCCTATCAGTATTTCCATTACCTGCAACAAACACATAAAACAAGCATGAGGATCATATCAAAACTCTCAAACTTTTATTTATCACATTTGGTTGGAAACTTCATGAGCCTAAAGGTTAATAAAAGTCAAAATCTACCAAGAAAAAGTCGGCCAAAATGGAAACTAAAATCTAACCAAAAGATTTGGCAGATCAACACAACTGAGAAAGAAAAACAAAACCAGAACTTTAGATCTCTGTTAATGTAACAAAAAAACCTGATTGATGAAAGAATCACACCACATTAGCAGATGCTACAGAGCCAAAACACAATATAGAAGAAGAAGAAGATACAAAATGGAAACCAAAAGACATGACATAAGTGAGCATATACAAGTCAACGACTAAGAGACACGAACCATAGAGAAAGCAAAAGAAGAGTGTTTAAAAATTATCAAAATGATTAAATAATTTTTTTTACCTAAAGTAAGGCTTTTTCGCCGGCCTGTGAGAACATGGTGACGATCAAAGATTTGAAATATCCCATTCATACATCCAATTTGCTTCTGCAGATCTGCACTATCATCTGCCAATGAATGCAAAAGCTTCGCAGCCATTTCTCCGGCGAGTCTCCGGCGCCGGAACTTTCTGCAGAGCTTAGAAAAAAGGTTCTTCTTTTCTTTCTTTTTGGCTTCAGTGTTGTGTTCAACCTTTTACTCTTCCCTTTATTGATTTCCAAAAACCCTAACTTTTAGCCTCAATGATGTGTTTTGCAATAATTTGGAAGTGATAACTTTTAAAG